GGGAAAAAAATGTTTTACAGTGAGTAGATTGTGCTCATAGATGTGTGTCTACAGTATTCTCAGGGGGACTAACTGACCAGAATAAATTAGTTCGTTTACCTCAACCATGGAGCACATTTAGACTTGTGCAAAGAGTATTGGGGTAAAGATTAACAGAAGGGTATTGGTGTGTAATCCAGATTAGAACTGATGAACAGATTATGCTTTTTATTTCAAAAAGCAGTTGGAGCTCTTATAACTGAACAGTTGATGGATTGCATGTGGTTGAAAGATGTCTTTACTGTTTAAGCTGTTGGCTTGGGGTCTTTGGGTTTATGTGCAGAACATGACTGGATAGCAAGGGCATTTCTACTCACATAACCATTCCTGGGAGGTCATATAGTTAGAAACCTCCTGGCTAACAGAATGTTGGCATGGCAACATGGGAGTAGTCGCTATTAGGAAATATTTTGCATTCACCATTAGATATAGTGCAGAGGATTGAAAAACCTAATGTTCAACCATAATCAAAATAGTTTTAGCACTGTAGCAGTGATAAAACTGCACCCCACTCAAGAAAGTCAGTGACAATAATCTTCAACCTACTCAGAAATACCTTGCCCTTTCTAACCAGTCTGTGGTTGTTTGTGCCAAGCCTTTTTTTCAGGAATTCTGCTTTCAGATGTGTGTGCACACATGTATTTACATTTTAGAATCACCCATTTTAAAGGAAGGCACTTTATTTAAGGTAAAATGTTCTCATCATCACCATTTGTTGATGATAGTGTTATTTTGAAGGGACACTCGCCAGAGATGATGCATTGTTCTATGAAAGTGCATATATCAAGTGCATATGTTGAGAAAAAGCATGATCTTTTTGTGATTTCTGAATCTAGTATTACATATATAGTGTTGTACAGTATTTATTTGTCTGTTTTATTCAGTTGTTTGTTTTTGTTTTATGAAGCTTTGAAATGATTCTATATTCAACATGGTGCACTAATCAGACTGAAGGCACCCATTATCAAAAGGGAAACCACTTGCCTCATATACAGTAACCACCTACTGCAACATTGTGTGTTTCATTCTTGGCTGTACTGCAGGGCTTTATGCATATGTTGTTGCAATTATACTGAAGAAAAATATATATAAAGAACTTGCATTCATCATTTGACTTTTTCATGTGCCATTTCTTTTTCACATACTGTAGTAGAACCAAGCATAGCATGGAACTATGGAGCAAAATTCTTTTAAAAACAACTCGGCAGTTAAACTCTTTACTGACTGATATACCAAACTTTTCCACCCCTTTCCTCTCAGACAAGACAGGTACAGTGTGGCAAGTATTTGGTACAAACATGATACTTCATTAAAGTAACAGGCTAAGTCATAAGACAGGCAGTGGGAAATACTGTAACAAGACCAACCAAAAACCTTTCAACTACCCCAAATGTCTGAAATGTCCCTCATATCAGGACATTAGCAAAGGAGAATTTTATATTAAAGAAATAGCATTTACATTCTTGACAAGGTGAGAAGACTGATACTACTTTTATGTTTATACTTAGATTATGAGGCCATGATAAGTACATGGCTAGCATAGCTTAGCACAAAATTTGTCATGAAAAACGTCAATAGAACCAAAAAATGTCCCTTTAGGTATTGAGTGTGTTGTCTACATTGCTGAAGCTGGTGGAAGCTATAATGCTAAATTGATTAATAACCCAAAAATACCATTTGTGGGTTTGTCTCTTAGTGCCTGTCTTGATGAGAAGTAATGAGCATGTGACTATATTATCCTTTCCTCAGTCAACAAATCCTGAATCTAGTGATGACAGGATTCAATTAGGTGTCACGCATGAGTTTTCTTGCTTCCACAGGCAGTGTGTAGTCACAACATCAAATGTTTCCTCTGTTTACTGCTTTATTGCCTGTGTGTTCTCAATCTAACATGGGTTATGTTTATTAGCTGAGTTTGCATCCAAATGTCAGAAGTCATACATTTTCTGTTCAATGTTTTAAGACGTGTGTGCTTCAGGATTTACTGTTGTGGGTATCCATTTGGGGATTCACACTATATTTGCTATATTTTTCAGGGATATGATTTTGCGTTATGGTTTGGACCCAAATGGCAATTCCTTTAAATTCATCTTCCAGAAAAGATGCACTATCAAAATTAACAAGAAGAGCCTTGAACAGACAAAATGGTCCTGCTGTGCTGATAATCTATCCTTTTAAGCTCCTACATGTCGTAACTAACAGCCGCCATCACTGTAATCCATTTCCACGGTGAGTTCTAGTTTGAACTATTCCTCCCATTATGTCCTCTCAGGCTATACTCTCTCCAGAGGATTAAATAACACTGAGATTAAAGGTTCAGAGGTTGGGGCAATACAAATCCAGAGGTTTAGGCAATCCTGATACTCCTATCAGACAATCTAATTCCTGTAGCTCATGATATCTGTCCTTCACTTGCTGCTCTCATCGATCCTAGAGAGGAAAAACGTGCCTATGCATTTAAGTAAAAATTGGGACACAAATAGCAGAGGATGAACTAATGTTTACTAGATACTTGTAAACCCATCTCACTGTGTTATGACTAAAACAGAGCTTGGTACTATGGTGCTCCAGTGATTGACTAAAGATGAGTGCTGTGTGGAGAGAAGCCAGACACATTCTGACCACATTGTTCCCACAGAACAACAGATAAATAATCACAGATGTGTAAAGAGAGGAGAAAGCTGAAAAGGGAAAAACAGAAGAGAGAGCAAAAGGGAACATAAAAGAGCAGGAAGATGCTAAAAGATGCTCTCTGAAATACTTAATGGAGGAAGAGGTTCCAAACAGTTGCTTTTAAAGGTCTGAGTGAATTCAATTCACAGCTTATGGAGAGCCCGTATATCAGTACACTGTGGTTATACAGAGATTCAACTTGACCAGAGTTGCATTTCAATTAGGTACAAATTATTTGACATACAAAATATGAAAAGATCGGATTGCTATCCAAACTTCTACATGCTTGCTTCATAATACACCTACATTTTAGCCAGTGGATGTGTGTTTAATGGGTTTCATTCCTTTAGTTAGCGCTGGTGGCCCAGGCCTGGTACCAGCGCTCAGTGGTTACAGATCTGTTTACTTTTGCAGGCTGGCAGGAACACGAGATTTCCTCTGGGTGTACTGTGGCTGGTTAACCTGCAAACAACATGGTCTTTCAAGTGATGAGGGTAACCCCACGCAAACAAACATACACTCACATAAAGACTGACAAGGGTTCAGTGAAGTCATGAAAACCAGCCATCATGGAAACTAACCAGTCCTGCAACACATACTGCATTAATGCTAACAAGTCACATGCTTTTGCTGCTCTACCTAATGACTCAGAAAAATGCCAGAGGAATGGATTATCTGTGGAGTTTGACGTCTCCCATTCCTTGACCAGGCTGACACAGAGAGAGACCTTGTTATGAGATGATCAAAAAGACTAATCTCTAAATGGAGTCTCCACCCATGACAGAGTTAGAAAGCTAAGGAGTGTTAGCATGCTAATTAGCACTAAGCACAAAAAGAACAGCTCAGTGTTTAATGTTGTAACTATTGTATTGTAATACAAAATACTGGACTAATTACAATTTTAACCTGATGATGGCACTGTGGAAGGAGAAGGGAGTTGTTATAATGGAAGGAACATTAATGCCTGACCTAAAGTTCATGTCAGTCTATCCAGTAGTTATTGGGAAATTTCACCCAAAACCATGAGCATCTACCTCATAGTCAGGTCACTCAGTAAGATTCATCATGACCATGAATGTTTCTAGCAAAATTCTTGGCAATGCATTCAACAGTTACTGAAATATTTTACAAAAAAATAAAAATTAAAAAGTCTACCTCATAGTAACACTAGAGGAAAGGTTATCCAGGTCATTAGGGTTCATCTTCTGGGGACCATTGATGACAACATAACCATTTTTTAGCATGGCTAAAAATCTTAAATGTATAAGATGAATGCGAACATTATTGTTTTACATTCTTATTTGTTTGTCTTTTACAGTGACAACTATGCTGTTTTTAGGATGTCACTCAAGATGTCCTCTTCTTTTTAATATTTTTTGTGCTCCTTAGTCTTGAAAACTAAGTGCAGGCAAATTGTTTTATCAAGCAAAAACAATATTCAGCATGATAATCCCAAAATTGGACATCAATATCCTCAGAGAAGTCTGAATAACTGAAATTCTTTGGATGAAGCAGACTCTACAAACTTATGCTTGTTTACTCATGTCCAGTGGGAGACTTACTTCTCTCTCTCTGTTGATAATTTGGACCTTTGGCCTTGAGGGGCCCCTGCAGATCCAGTAGTACAGGAGGAGGCACCCAGCCAGCCATAACAACATCAAACAGCCCCTATACCACAGCGTTTACACAGAGTTAAGCCCATTGGCCAAAAATATGATTGCTTTTTCTTTTAAAGATAGGAATGCAGACAAGCTTAAAGGTTATTGCCAACAATAAAGTGTCAATAATGGAAGAGGTGAGTGGATTTTAGTAAACAAGTAGGAAGAAGTGGTATTGTGGGTTAGATGAGGTTTGGAATGATCAAAACAAAATGGACATCTTCACTTAACTGTGCACTACATTAGAAAACATCATAATCCATCTTGTTGTGATAGTGAGTCTTATGTGTTTAATCTCATTGAAAAAGAAGAAATAAAGGATTACTGGAAATGTGAGGACACTGACATAGAGCACCCCCTGCTGGCCACCACGACCAGGTATACAGACCTTCCTGTGAACCATTATACCTGAACTGCCTGACACTTCAAAAACTCAG